ACCGTGATATGATCGATTCGCATTGTTGTATTTGTTCTTTCCTTTCTTCTTTCATTCTTTTTTCCCTCTTTGTTGTTTCCTTCATTCTTGTTCTTTCTTTCGTTTTTTTTTCTTTCTTTTTTCTTTTTTTTTTTTTGCATGTTCATGGATTACTTTCATCTCTCTCGTTTAATCGATAAAGTACTATTACATACATATTTATGTACTTACATACAAGATACATAAAATTTCATCAAATGTTCATCTTCTCTATATTACTATCTTGTTTTTCTTTTCTTTTCTTTTCTTACTTTTTCGTATGTGTATCAGATCGATCGATCGATCGATCTGATTTACGCAGAGAAAAAGCGATCGGAGCGTGTATGTATTGTAGTTATATATAAAATCCTACAAGATACGCTTACAAGACCACGATTACGTGGTTAATTATATATAAGTGGATGATCGTCGAGATCGTAAGTAAATTAAAAAGCAGAGAAATAAAGAAAAAGAAAGAGAGAGAGAAAAAAGCATACAGAATCAACTGTTTCTCACTTTCGTGATAAAAAAAAACATGATCGATCGATATCGATACTGTGTTGTTGATCTTTTTTCTCCTCTATTTAGTTTCTTTTTCGATTGATTTTATCGACAAAAACGTAAGTATGTACGATCTCTCAACGAGGACCAGCTCGCAATTGCGAAAATTTGTAAATAGAAAGAAAGAAAGAGAGAGAGAGAGGAGAGAGAGAGAGAGAGAGAGACAGAGACAGAGGAATAGCCGAGTGTGTGAGAAGGTGGCCTACAAAATATGTGGAACGAGCGTGTAATTTGATGAAAGATAAACGATATATATATATATTTATTTATGTATATAGTATATAAAATAAAAAGCATTTACCCTTATAAGAGACGGAAATGATTGCGTACTGATTCTGGAAGCACATTCGATAATCATCGGTTCCATGCGTTGTTATATCGTTGTGACGTCAGAAAACGAGAAAGTTTTGCGCCATCATCAATGCGGCAATTAAAACGCGTTCCCTTATTCGGTCGTTGCAAGCACGCGACGTACCTTGTGCTTCGGTGCACACTCGCGAAAAGTAATTAAACATTCCGGAAACCACGTAGAAAAGTTATCGAATGCGCATAAACTTACTACTCGCTTAAGGAAGTTTCCCTTCTCTCTCTCTCTCTCTCTCTCTCTCTCTCTCTCTCTCTCTCTCTCTCTCTCTCTTTCTCTCTCTCTCTCTCTCTATCTATCTATCTCTTTTTTTCTCTCGTGACACAATAAAGTGATTGCATTTTGATACGAAAAGTACATCGAATCGGATTGATCCCTTCAAGCGATTCTAATGAAAAAAAAGATTATGGTATTTACTCGAATATATTTTTTTGCACGATTTAATCTATCATTATCTAAATTAAACGGATAGAAGAAGAAGAAGAGAAGAAAAAAAAATTATTCTCCATTTGTCGAAGTTCTTTAGAGAAATATAATAGCAAATTACGGATTCGATCAGATCCACCGTTTGATTTGATATAAATATAATGATGTTATATAGTATTATTATTTATTATTACGTTCGCGTCTCTCGTGGAATTAACCGAGCAGAAAATTCGACTCGCTCGAGTGTAAATTTTGCCTTTAATTCGGTTAACCGTTCGTCGGGTTCCTCCTCCTCCTCTCCCTTATTCTCATCTCTTTCTTTTCTCGCATCTATTAACATTTATCTGTCCTGTATTCATCAATCGTAACACGTATTTACGTTCTGAATGGAGAACAAAGCACAGCGTAAGTTGTTACCGACGAATTTTACCTCTGAATTATTTCGTGTACGCCCCTTTTTTTGGTCGATGAAGAAAGAATGATATGTAGATAGATATCGAGAGAGAGAGAGAGAGAGAGAGAGAGAGAGAGAGAAAGAGAAAGAAAGGAAAAGAAAAAGAGGGTCCCACGTTATTATTCGTTGTCGTTGCCGTTGGATCTTTTCGTGCTTAGCAACACGACGTGTTAGCTCGTCAGCTGAAACTCGAGAATTCGTTCCCCTCGACACGCACATTCTTTACCACGAGGAGGAACAGCTGACTTATTCTAACGCCTCGGTGTATATACCTGTGTATGTATGATGTATATATATATATATATACGTATATATATATATATATGTACACATACACACATCACATATGAATGAATGCATGCGTGCATGCGTGAGTGCGTCATGAATGCGTGTTCTCCACGTGTGATCGCGTGCAAAACGCGCACGCACGCACACACGCACGCACGCACTGACTTCTAATCTCGATACGTTCCTATCTCCTGCGAACCATTTCAATATTTGCACGCGATTGCTTGATTGGACAAGAGATAGAAAGAGATAGACAGTATAAAGTATAACTAATGTTATTGCATTTAATAATAATGATAATGCTAATAATAATTAAAAAAAAATATATCCTCCACACGTTGGACATTTCGAGATCGCTAAAGGGAGAAAAAATTTGTAAAAGCCGAACGTGTTATATCACCGAACTCTACTTTTTGTCGAAACTCCAAGGCAAGAGAGTACCGGCCATTAATATCTCTAGGAATTGCAATGTAAAAGGAGGCAGGATATAGCAGGAACGCGTTCGAGAGGCGGAGCAGCTTGGACGGGTGGGTGTAAAGAACCGCGATTTCTCTCTCTCTCTCTCTCTATCTCTCTCTCTCTCTCTATCTCTTTCTCTCTCTTTCGCTCCCTCCCCTATTCTCTTGCTTTTCTTTGAAATCGGCTAGGCTCAAGCCGTGAAACGCAGTAAAATATCGTTTTGCAAAGGTACCGAGGCAATAGAGGTAGTAGCTCGCCGGTGGCCGTGCCTAAGACACTTTTACGTTGCTCGCTTACGGCGAGTATAATACGTTCGAGCATGGCGCGCGCGCAAGAGAGAGAAAGAGAGAGAGACAGTCTATGGTGTTGTATGTGCCTATAGAACGCGCGTGGCACAGGTGTGCCCGGTTATTCCGCTCGATTTATTACCTCTTCCTTTATTGCTGGGGCTGCGAGAGCCTCCGCCGAGACGTGCCATCCTTTCGACGAGCTTATATTTTTCAAACGGGAGAAAAGATCTCTTTCTCTTTATTTCTCTATCTCTCTCATTCTCTTTCAAATTTTCGTTAATTTCGTTAACTTCCTCAAGATGTGCGATCCTTTCGACAAACTTATATTTTTTAAACGGGGAAAATTCTCTCTCTCACTCTCTCTCTCTCTCTTTCTCTCTCTTTCTCTTTCTCTCTCTCTCTCTCTCTCTCTCTCTCTCTCTCTCTCTCTCTGTGAAATTTTCGTTAACTTCTTCTCTTCTTTCGATTCTTGTACGAATTTAAATTAATTAAAATGAATTTTATCGATCCATGTATTTTGGATGAATAACTTAAAATGATAAAAACTAGAAATTAACGTTTGTTATGTCGTAAGCCATTAAAACGTCACGACGATCCTTATCCTTTCGTAATTCTCGTAATATTCTTATGCAAGCTTTCATGGATATCATTCTCTCGCTACGATTGCTTTAAAGACGTCGTTAAGAAGTCTCGCGGACAAGGGAATAAACGGCAAGCTAACTGCTAATCGGGTACGAATCGATTGCATTTGCAAATTTTTGCGGTCATTTTTCTGATATTATCGCTCGATTTCAAAATCTCTCTCTCTCTTGTCTTCTTTTTTTTTTTTTTAACTTGATTTATAACGTAATTTGTAGAAAAGGTATCGTGATGAGACAGTATCGATTTAAATATTTACATCTAGTTTTCTTTTTTTACTTGTTTTTTTTCTTTTTCTTTTTTAACGAAACATCCTCTCGAAATAGATAAACTTTCAAAATCAAGATCAATTTTATTATTTCAATATGATTTAGCAATCTTCTTCCGCGTATGTCATATAAATATTATTAAGCAAATAAATACGAACGCGAATTTAAAGAACGCGTTAAAGAAAAGTACCGAAAGTGGATTGGAAATGAATAAACCGTTTTAGAGATAGTCGAAAGAGCTGGTATTGGAGCGAATATGAGAATGCGTAAGTTCGCCTAACCGTCATCGTTGTCGTCGTCGTCGTCGTCGTCGTCATCGTTATTGTCGTTTCCTCCTTCGTAAAGCACCAGCGTGTATGCAGATTTTTACGTTCCCATTTACAATGTCGGGAGGTGGTGTCCTCATTTCGCAGGACATGTCCTCTCTCTCTTTCTCTTCATTTCGTAATCGAACAATTCGTTTGTAAGAGATACATAGTTAGTAATCAAATCGATGATTCCTCGTTTTAATTTTATTTCGTATAAATTCGTTTTTTCTTTTCTTTTTCTTTCTCCCCATTTTTTTCTTTTTCCATTCAAGTGATTTAATAAGAATTCTATAGAGATTGTAGAACTAGGTTTACGAGGATTTAGAACGACGAACTTCGACATCTTCTACGGCGCGAGTTTCTAACGGCATTTTCGACCCTTTGTTCGTTGAGAGACTCACGTTCGACGTCGATTCGTTACGGCAACTTTCCGATCTCTTCGTAGGCCGAATGGACAAAACAGGACGCGTTTGTAAGGAAAGAGAAAGACCGTGTACCGGACGAGAAAGACAGAAAGACGCACACGCGGAATATTTCCACGTGGGCTGGTCAACCAACGATGACCTGAATGCAGTGAAACTGTCTTCGTCGACGTAGCGTCGTCGTCATCCTCGTCGTCGCCGTCGTCATCGTCGATGTCGACGTACTCGTTGTTCGTGTGGGAAGATAACTCCCGTCTTGTTTTACGATAATTATGATTCCACGTAATTCTCGATCTCATCTCTCCTTCTCTTAATATCTCTTTTCGATGCGTTGTGAAAACATCGTAAAATCGAATTTTATTATCGAAAAAGAGATAGGAAGAGTGAGATATCCGCCTTTTTTTCTTCCTCTTTCCCTCCCCCTGTCTCTTTCTCTTTCTTTTTCGTTCACTCTCGAATATGAAACTTATATTAATTTATTTGTTTATTTTTCTTATTTCAG